GACTCGTGGAAAGTGTTTAGTGCTCTCTGCGACAGACGTCTGAGACGACGTGCTCTTAACGAGGATGACCCGGTGCGTACTTTTCTATCCATTGTTCATTCCATGTTCTAACCTGTTGAATTTAGGTCGAATTCTACTTGACCAAGCGAAGTTCATGCCAGTTACCTCCAGACTACTTTGCCAAAAAGGCTGCTGCAAAGAAAACAGCCGAGTCTAATGCAAAATCCGCCACTCCAGTGACCAAGTCTAAATCCATGACTGCCGCTCTCAAGGACAAGACCATTCCCAAGTCGGCTTTGAAGAGCAAGACTGGTGCAAAGAAAACGACCGCTTTGAAGAGCAAGATGTCCAAAGGCAAGACTGCCTCCAGGGCCAAATCCGCCCGCAAGGGCAAGAACGCCTTAAAGTCCAAAGCCGGTACCAAAGGCAAGGCGGCTTCGAAGACTAGAGCCGGGTCGAAGAACAAACTCTCCGGTAAAGGCAAGACTGCATCGAGGAAGACTATTGGCAAGGGCAAGAGCGCATCGCGTGCGAAGGCTGGTGCCAAAGGCAAGACTTCCTCGAGAAATAGGCTCGCGACCAAAGGCAAGGCTACCAAAGGCAAGAGCGCATTGCGTACGAAAGCTGGTGCCAAAGGCAAGGCAGTTGGCAAGAACAAGACGAAAGGCGCTACTAGAGCCAAGACACCTTCGAGGAGCAAGGCTGGCGCAAGGAACAAAGCGTTGAAAACTTCGAAGGGCAAAGTCGCCGGCAAAGGCAAGAATGGGCTCAAGTCCAAAGCTGGTGTCAAAGGAAAGGCCGCCGCCAAAACCAAGGCTAGCTCGAAGAACAAGATTTCCAAAGGCAAGGGCAAGACTGGCGTGAGGGCCAAATCTAGTACCAAAGGCAAGAACGCATCGAAGGTTAAAGGCAAGACTGGACCTAAGGGCAAAGTTGCTGCCAAAGGCAAGATGACATCACACAACAAGGCAGCCAACAATGGAAAGACTTTATCGAAGGGCAAGACTACTAAGAGCACAGGGGTTTCGAGGTCCAAGACCGGCGGCAAAGGCAAGTCTGCATCCAGACGCAAGCCAGCGGCAAAGGGCAAGGCCACCCCGAAGAATAAGACTGCGTCCAAAGGAAAGACCGTCGCCAAATCCAAGGCCAAGGCTACTGCCACGAGGAAGGCTG